TGCCTTTGAAATGCCTTCGATCTTCGTATTCCTGCTATCTAAGCTCACCGCGTCGCGCAAAAAACATATACCTATACATGGACTATGCAAGAAATAAACGATAAATCGCTGCACCGATGCTGCGCAGATGTGGAAAGGGACAACGTGGACAGGTGGACACAAACTACCAATGAGGCAGGGAAATAGTCTCTAAGGGCAAATTGTATGGGCCTGTCTTATTAACTTAATCGGTTTAATTTTGTATTCAAATTGCGCTGAACTTAAATAAACTGATGACGGCGTTACGTAGGAAGTACAGAATCAACCTACTCGACTGCATTGTTTAATACAAGACACGTGTTTCCTGTTAACATCGTCACGAAAATCTTCAAAACCCGATTTGACGAGTGGTAAAGCTGTTGTAGTCATAGTCGCTTTTGAAAAACTTTATATCTACAGTTAAAGCTGTAGGGTTGGCAACCCTACTCCTACGTTTAAATTCGAAGTTTGCAGAATAAGTCGCACTCCCCACTTAAACCAGTTTCTAGCAGTACCTGCCCAAACCTCAGTACATTTGAGGCAGGATTCTGCGCAGAGCTCAGAAATTAAAATGCTTCCGTTCATCCTTCTCTATTCTCAATTCCGTCTTTACCGTCGAACCCCTGTATACCTAGGAGCCCCGGCATGGTTTAATCCGACTCAGCTGTACAATTTTGATGCTGTGCAGAGGAGAGATTGCCGACACATGTCTAACAGACAGTCTGTTAGGATGATAATAGTGGACTTTCAGAATTTAAAAGGTGACCATCCTTGACGCCGGTATGTAGACCAAGACAAAGCCGGTCTAGCCGAGTGTCGCCCACTTGTTGGTTTTATTGCCACGCACTAGGATCCACCAGCCGAGGCAAGCAGTGCCGGCATTGCCACCCGTACGGCCAGATTCGAATCTGTGTGGTCCCCGACATCATGATGAGTTAATTTCATAGCACGCGAAATTGCCATAGTTATTTTTAAAATGGCTGTAAACAAAAGGTATACGGGCCGCACCGCGTCTGGAACTGGGCCACCTGCTTCTCCGTTTTATTTTGGAAGTCTTTCGGTAATTGAATCATCTATTGGGGACCACATTGATTCTGTTTTATAAGCTTTATTTGATATAGGAATGTGTTGCTCCAGGAAAATATGTTTCAGGTATGGACAGGTCTTTTTAGAGAGACTCTGGGGTTGGATCAAATCTTGTCTTCATAACCGTTAAGGTTCACGCTTTAACAAATAATTTCTTTCATTTTACTTTTTACGCTATTGGTAAGGAAGTATTTTATTCGCGAAAAAGTATGTTTTTTGTACGTTATGACACGTAGATGTACATGTAGATGTCAATCGACCTGTTTGTCCGCTGATCCGTGATTCCCTTATAACTAAGAAAGTGCCTCTCAGATTTTTACAATTTTTTTCCACAAGGTTAATATTATAGTTTTTTGAAAGCGATCCAGTAGCGGCGAAACGAGAGGCAAATAACAAAAAAATTAAAATCGCCCAAACTTCGTTATTTGATGCTGCAGAGGTTCCTACATATAGCACACATCATAGATTTCCCCGGAAAACTTGCCAAATAGCACGAAACATCTGTCTGGTCGAATGAGCGAAAGTAATCACTTATCCTTGGGCAGTTTTTACGCATCTTTAGAATCTAATAATTTGCAAGACGGTGACTATTTCTGATGATAAGCCAGAGAATTGAACTATAATACAAAAAATGGCGCCAAGTAGGTTACGAGTAGGTATAATAGGGAAATTAGACGAATCGAGTCAGTCAAATGAGTCCACACAATTGGTTCATAGACATTATTTTCCTGTTCTATCGGTATTTCAACAACGTCGCCTCTTCTCGATGCCCTAACACACCATGCGCAAGACACGGTAGCACGCCTATAAGGCCAGAACACTTACCGCGACCGGCATGCCCACCGGTGATCCCAAGCATCAGAATTAGGAACGCGTATCGAAAGCATTTCGCTAGCATTGTTTTAAGGGCAAATGTACGGGGAAATCTATGATGGGTGAAATATGTCTAATAGGTGCATATAATCACGAAGTTTGGAAACTGATAAATATACTTACATCAAAAAATTCAGCTATGCACTTCCCCACCCCCCTACAACCCCCACTCTCCAATTTTTCACTTCTGAAAAATGTTTTAATAATGATCAGAATCCTCTGATACGCAAAAAATGAAGTTTGAGCGATTATTATTTTTTAGTATGTCGCGTGCAAAAAATCACGTAACCTTTTTTTTACTATTTTGATCATATCACTAATTTGAATTTATCTTTACTAATAATAGAGTGCCCATTCCTAGACCAAACCCTTTTTAATGATTTTCTTTTGGAGAATTTCATAGTTTATTGACTGTATAATTTCTCACGTATTGTTTCTCAGCGACTCAGTATTGTTTTGAAATATTTTGGACTCTAATGTTATATACTAAGTGACATATAAATCCGAACACCCAGTTTAAATAGACACTGTGGTTAGGTGTTGTCAGGCATGGCTTCGAGAAGGCCGTACGCAAAGAGCAAGGGGCACTGGACGCCGCCGTAGAACAACAGACCGTGAAGATCGCCGCCTAAGATTATTGGCCTTAAGGGACCGTTTCTCCACTACCAGGTCCATTGCAAATGAATGGTTTGCAGAACACGGAAGACCTATTGGCATGCGAAGTGTTTACCGACGAATGAGAAGTTTTGGCTTGTTTTCATACCGGCCACACTGGGTCCTCCCTTTAACTCGAGAACACCGACGTAATCGCCTTGAGTGGTGCAGACAACGGTCACTCTGGGATCAGGAATGGAACAGTATTGTCTTTAGTGACGAGTCTCGATTTTGTTTAGGCATACACGATGGTCGTGCCAGGGTTAGAAGGCGACGTGGTGAAAGGAGGAATCCACAGTTTTTTGTTGAAAGACATGTTCATCACACTGTTGGAGTTATGGTTTGGGGTGCTATAGCTTATGGTTCCAGGTCACCTTTAATCTTCATCAGAGGTAACATGAACGCGCAGTTCTAGAACCCCATCTTTTACCCTGTCTTGACACCCTGACAGATCCAACTTTCCAACTAGATAATGCCCGACCACATGTTGCAAGAGTCACAATAGACTTCTTTCAACATAATGATGTCACATTGTTACCATGGCCACCAAGATCTCCCGACTTATCCCCAATTGAGCACGTGTGGGATATGATGGATAGGAGATTGCTCAATTTGCAACGTCCTCCTCGGACTCTAGAAGCACTTCGAGAGGAGTCGGTGGTTGCCTGGAATAAGCATGCCTAGGTGCGTTGGAGAATGCGTAGCACATCAGGGTGCATCCATACATTATTAAAGGTCAAAGGGCTTTAAAGCAGTGCAATCATTTTGAAATTTTTATCATTTACTTATTATGCTTCATTAAGTACTTATACAAAATTTTATTAAAATAAAACCATTTAAACTGGGTGTTCGGATTTATATGTCACTTAGTATTGTATTATTAAGAACTATCTTCGAAATTTCGTAATAAAATATTGTTGGAGCCTCGTAAGCAGAGTTGGCCAGCGCACCGCCTTGTGCTTTCTACATGTACTAGCCGTATATGAATGTTTACCTTCCTATCAAGATACCTTCTGTTAAGATTTGCTTTACTATCAAGATACCTTCTTTACCGGCTTTTCTCTTTTCCTTTCGATTTTCTGTCGAACGTGCCTTTTTCAGAGCCACTTATTTAACCTTCTTTTAATGGGTAAGGTACTCTGCGTTATTTACTTTCCTGTGGAGATTGTGGTGTGGGTGTTGTTTCATTAGTTTCCAAATTCTGGGATACTCAACCCACAATTTTTGACTCCTAAAAAAAATTTCCGAAAATGAAGAGCCACTGAAATGTCACAAACTGAAGTTTGAACTCTTTCCATTTTGTCACGGAAGAGGGCTCAGGCGCTGGGTTCTCTGGTCCTAGAACTAGGCTATTTCTGCCTCTCGGGGAATATGCCACGATTTTCCAGGCGGAAATCTTTGCGATTCTGGTTTGTGTATCTCACATTCTGGAGGAGGGTGGGCTAGGAGAAAAATAACAATCTTATCCGACAGCCAGGCTGCAATGAAGTCATTAAGTGCCTGTAAGAGTACTCCGAGTCTTGTATTGCAATGCAGGAAAGCTCTGGATTGCCTCGCAGCGAGGCATACAATGTCGTCAATGTGGCTACCGGGGCACGCTGGGATAAGCGGCAATGAGGCGGCGGACGCTCTGTCTAAGGAGTGACCGCGCATAGAGTTAGGAGAAAAATGGAGACGTTGATTGGAAGACAACATTCTCAGAAATGGAGAAGTATCTCCAGGCATCTCCGCCAGGTACGGGAACTCATTGAAGGGACCAGTTCTAAGGATGGACGTTTCTGTCTATCTCTGGATAAAGCCACCTAAGGTTGCTGGTGGGACTGTTGTCTGGCCATAACCCGTTAAGGCGCCACCTGCACGTGATGGGGGTGGCTGAGGATCCCTTCTGTGAGCGCTGCGAGGTAGAGGAGGAGACCTTGGCGCACGTTCTGTGTCGCTGTGAAGCTCTGAGCTACTATAGGCAGACTATCCTGGGGTCCATTACGTTGGACCCTCAGGAGCTTGGACTCAAGGCCATACTCAACTTCGCTAAAAAGGCGAGGCTTGTGATCTGAGGAATGTCGAGTTGCATAAGGGCCCGTTTCAGCGGCCTATGCACTGGCTTCTTGTGGTGGCCAGAATGCGTCTAATTTCACGATTAATTAATTCATTCATTCCTCATGGATCTGTTTATCGTGCATTCCACATTTATTGTAATATTGGAAATATTCCGATTATGTATGTACTTCAACGTAAGTGGATGCATAAGAAAAAAAAGCTAATCATTCATTCGGGTGTCATCAGTAACCTGATAAAATCTATCTAAACAAATACCGATGAAGAAGTAATGATCGATGACAGTATATCATCTGTTTTCTTTATCTCAATAAATCCACTCTGCCTAGATATAAAATACTGCTAATTTCAAAGTAGTCAGTGGAAGCTGAAAAACAGTGCAATGACGTCTTCACGAAATGCAAGAAAACTGCCTTTCCTATTATTAGGTACTCTTGTCTTAGGGGCTGTTAGCATGCGTAAGTACCTTCAAGTTCCTTAGTGGATATATAGGGTGTTTCCTAATTGAATTGAAGAGGTCGATTTTTGGTTTCGATTTAAGAAGAGAATTTCATATGAATGTACATGCTAAACGTCTTGAGTTTTGAGATATAGGTTGGTAAAGCTTTCAATATAAAAGTCAATGGCACGATACTGACTGACGCTATTTCGCTAGATGTTAGCGTGATATTAACATATCAAAGAGTATTTTTTATTTTAAGAGAAATCAGTGGCATACAAACGCTACTGGTAAAAATTAAGAAAAGTAGTACATTAAAAAATGCCTCCTGATATATACTACATGTATGCCAAATTTCATTAAAATATCTAAGGTAGTGTTTAGATAATAAATTACTTATATTTACCACCCTGTATCTCAAAAGTTAAGACGCTTCGGACGTATCGTCGGTCTCCGCATGCACCGGCGTAAATAACATTTTACAAATTTTACAGGAAAGCTAGAAAACGAAAATCAACAATAAATAAGAATGAAAATGACAATGATTTTTTACTCTGCACATTGCTGTTTTTTTGTTAGACTAAAATTATGTAAAACTTTGTTCTGGGATGGTTTAAATTTGTAAAAGTAAAATGAGTTTTAAATTTTTTTTTGTACATTTACACCGCTTCGTGACGAGTCTTGTTTCTTTTATTGTGTATTTACGCCAACAATTTAAACTGGACATGGATATCAAAGTATCGAAAATACTGTTTCAAAAATAAAAATCGTTTTATTCTCTACATAATATTTAAGTACAAACAAAAAGTAAATAACAAGAAAAATAAAAATTTTGTTCAAGTCGACTATCATAACAACACAACAATATTTATAGGTTATGTTAAAATATTATTATAGACACATGCGCCGGTACGTGCTGTATAATTATCGGTTAAATACAGAAAACCACCTTTAATGCAGAGGCGTAAATCCGGTACGTGAGAATTTTTTTCGGAATTTTATCACATACGCAATTTTTTAAGAATTTTATTTCCAAGCAGCGAACTGATATACAGTTACGTCACTTCGTGAGGTGAGATACTACAAAGTTATATGTCAAATTACGATTTTAGATTTTTTTTTGTTATTTACGCCTGTGCGTGCGGAGACCGACGATATACAGGGTTATCCAAATTAAGTGTACACCATTAGTAACTTTGTTATTAGTGAAAATACAAAGTTGTTTGAATTAGCAAACTAGTAGCATTTTTAACGCTGGTAAAAATGAGAAATAAAAAAAAACAATTGAGAGTCGTTATTTTGATTTTTTTCAGTAAAATAAAATTTTTTTAAATGGAAACCCCTGTATATTATATTTTTTTCTGTTAAAGCATCAAATTTTAAACAAAAAAGCTTACAATAACTTTTCTCCTAGGTTACAAATTGTTGAAGTTATGGCCTCCAATCTGAAACAATTAAATTGTATCGACAAACTTTATTTTCAACATCAACTTATAATCTTACAAAATACAATAACAATTTTTTTTAAAGAAGATGCTCGAAAACACCACCTTGTTCTTCAATACATTTTTGGGCACGTTTTTCAACTGCTCGAACTGTCTTAAGTATGGTCCTACCATCTATCTGGGTTATCTTTTCCCTAACTGCAGTCTTTAACGCGTCAAGGTTATCGTACCTTCGCTTGTAAATGTGGTTCTTTAAGTAACCCCACAAGAAGCAATCAAGTGGGTTTAGATCTGGCGATCTGGGAGGCCACTGTATTGGGCCATTTGTTCCTATCCACTGATCATTAAAAGTAGTACTTAGAAAATGATAAGTACCTCTGGAGTTGTGGGCAGGTGCGCCATCTTGCTGAAAATGCAGATGATGTCTACTTATAAGATCCAATTCGTCTAAGAAATTAGTCAGAATTTCTGACATAAATTCCACATATCTTTCACCAGTTAGGGTTCCCTCATAAAAGAACGGGCCAACAATTTTTGAACCAATTATACCGCACCAAACGTTGAAACTGAAACGGACTTGTGGGCCTCTTGGATGTACTAACAAAAGATTTTCTCTTGACCAATAATGGTGGTTTTTTCTATTAAACATTCCAGAATTTGAAAAATTTGATTCATCTGTCCATAAAAGGTAACGAAAGTTATTTACATTTTGGCGACAGAAGCTAAGATACCAATGGCAAAAAACAAGTCTTCTCTCTGGATCCCCTGCCAAAAGCGTTTGAACTGGTCGGTACTTATACGGAATAAATTTGTATTTTTTTAAAATCCTTTGAACAGTACCATAACTGAAATTAGAGTCCTTGAGAATATCTGCTATTGAATTCTCACGATAAGCTTCAAAATATCCAATAACTGCAATTTCCGTGGCCTCGCTTATTATGAATTCTTTTTTTGCCCTTGTTTTAGCAAAAACATTTTCGTTGCCCCTAAATTTTCGATAAAGTCTCAGAAAATATCGTTCATATGGTTGAATGCGAGCGGGATATAATTCACTGTAGTCTCTTGCTCTCAAGGAGGATTTTATGCACACTAAATAGCATTCTAACATATCACACTTTTCTTCATGGGAGAACATTTTTCTTTAAATTAATGACACAATAAAGCTTATAAACAAGTATTTACACTAATGTTTGACATTATTTGATTTTATCATTGTTTTCCAAAGCCTTCTAGTTGCGAGTATGTCCAGTTTAACAATTTGTCGCTTATCTTAATGCTGTCAAATCGCGAACGCCATGTTGTTTTCATAGCCGTCTTAATATTATAATACTGCAAATAATTAAAAATATTTATCGTTATTTTGACTTTAGCGGAAAAGTCATTATGAACTTTTTTGTTTAAAATTTGATGCTTTAACAGAAAAAAATATAATATACAGGGGTTTCCATTTAAAAAAATGTTATTTTACTGAAAAAAATCAAAATAACGACTCTCAATTGTTTTTTTTTATTTCTCATTTTTACCAGCGTTAAAAATGCTACTAGTTTGCTAATTTAAACAACTTTGTATTTTTACTAATAACAAAGTTACCAATGGTGGACACTTAATTTGGATAACCCTGTATTCGTATGAGCTTTTTCTAAAAATGGACCCAAAAATCGCCTTCTTAAATACTGCTGTTCAATTGGGAAACAGCCTGTATTTTTCCATCTTGATGTTTTTTAAAACAAATTGATTGTGGTGGTGGTGGAGGTGGTATTGCATAGATCATACATCAAACGTATCTAATAGCTTCGGTTTTCTCATTAAAGCAAGCTATGGAGAATCGTTCTCACGAAACTAACAAAACTATTAAAACTTAGAGCTCGGCTTGAGGACACGTTTTCCCAATTTTATCGATTAAGTCCAGGTACTACCTTAGCATCTCGGAAAAATATTTTGATTTAGATCTTTTGCATAGGCTTATCCAAAAAGGACCTTTTCTGCGTGTTTGCAAGGACCAAAACTGCGTTAAACAAATAACAAAAATTGTATTTTTCGCTCAGGTCAAAAAGCTTTTAGGTTTGTTAGCCCATTTTAAACAAAAAAAGAGCATTAAAGTACTTATAGACACTAGATATTTTTCAAAATATAATCCATTTAATATTTTTTGAAAAAGTGTCATCTTCGACCAATATAAAAAATTTAAAATTTCCATGTCACATGTTTCTAATATTCTTCCAACATCTGTCAACAAAATTTCAAAGCATCTTAGGGGGCATTGCTAGCATAAACGTTTGTTTTTCAGCCACGGGCGCTTAATGTATACTCAGCGCAGCTCAACGAATTCGAATACATCAAAAGGAGCCAAGTCTGTATAGTCAACGCCAAACAAAGTGGCGTGCACGTCATCAAGGTGGGTGTGTTGAAAAATTTACATTGTTGCCAAACTTTTTGTAAAATAATAAAATTTATTATTTACATATCTAGGTTTATAAGCAATATTAACCTCAAATGAGAACAAAAATAATAGTATAATAAAATTATAGATCTGTACTTGCATAATCATTAAGTATGACAATTATTGATCAGATGACACTATGAAACTACCATATTTAATTGATAGCTTAAAGGTACTGAATAAAAATCCAAATGGGGTCCTCCAAATTTTATGCATGGTATTTATTTTACAGAATTCATACAGAAAAATTCATTCTAAAATTAGGTAAGCTACTGGTGTAAGCTTTTTCTGTACAATAAAGTTAGTCGGAGTTTCTTTCTTCAGCGCTGTCTGAATCTGAATCTTCATCACTCTCAAAGTTGATTATTAAAGGTTCGATGTCTGGTCGATCAAAAATTCGTTCTCTTTCATACCATTTAAAAATTTCTTGCTCAGTATGTCGAACACTATTTTTCCACATGTCTAGGGTAACCGTTTGTAGAGCCTCGTTCCACATATCCAAACAGTCTTTTTCACTGTTACCATCTCTACCAATATGTCTGTTATAGTAACCTTTTGCTATGCCCCAAATTAACTCAATAGGGTTAAATATACAATGGTAAGGAGGCAGACGAAGAACTTTGTGCCCATGTTGTTCCGCCAATTCATCAATCACGTATATTTTAGGTGGTTTGTTTCTAAAAAAGCAGTTATTTTAAGAATAGGAATAAACAAAAGAAATATAAACTGTCGACCAAAATATATATAATTAAGAAGCATTATGTACCGAGCAACAATACTCAATAGCTCTGTTTTAAACATTGTGTTTAAAAATGGTATGTTTTGATTTGTCAACCAGTCTTGGATATTTTTTTTTGTCCATGCATTTATGGGACTTTGTTCAATATCATGCTGTGATAAGGGGCGTTATCCAGTATAATCATAGATGGTCTCTCCATTTTTTCTAATAACTGATGTTGAAACCATTTCAAAAAATTGTCCTGGTTCATCTCTCCATGGTAATCGCTCAATTTTGTTTTCGAAGAAAATATCGCTTCACTACCCTCAATAAACCCATTTTCATTTCCAGCATATAATATAATGTATCTAAAATATATTAGTTTTAAATTTTATAGTGCAAATTGTGTAAAAGTA